AGAAGCAGAAGCAGAAGCAAGAAGAAGAAGAAAAGTTAGACGCAGGAAAGCAGCAGCAGCAGCAGCAGCAGAAGAAGAAGAAGAAGAAGAAGAAGAAGAAGAAGAAGAAGAAGAAAGGAGGAGGAGGAGGAGGACCTGAGGGGAGAGGGCCGGGGAGGAGATGGAAGGAGGAGGAGGAGGAGGAAGAGACTAAGGCTGATCAAGCCCACAGTAGCGGCAGCAGGAGTAGGAGGGAGAGAAAGGTTGCGGTGGTGACCTGGTGCTGGGACCGCTCAGGAACGTGACGAACGTCGCAGAAGAAGCCTTAGGATGGAAAAAGTAAGAGAAGGCAAAATCAGGAGAGGCATCAAGAGCTGCTGGAAGACGAGGCGACTGCAGTCTCTGCAGGACATGATGAGAGTGGTCTTCTCGACGGATTTGGTGCTAGCTGCGGTCTTTCTGCTTGTGGTGGGGGGAGGATGTTGTTTTCTCCCTGTGAGAGCAGTAGTAGAGCACTCAGACTCAGGCGATACCAGTGAGAACACTGAGAAGTACCCCACCCCTCATGATCTGGCTCGACCTCACCCGCCGCCCAATATATGGGACTGCAAGGTTGGCCCCTCTTGTTGTATGGCGGTCCCTTCTAGTAGGCGAATAAAGGGCACCCCTTTTGTGGCCAATTTGTCGGAACCTATGAGAACTCGAATGTCCATTCAGACGGCTTTTCAAGACCCCTCTTACGTGCGCAAACTTACAGAAGCCTACCGATTAATGAAGATGTTAGACAAGGAGGATCCCGACGACCCACGTGGCATGGAACAACAACGCCGGGTCCATTGTGCTTATTGTTCGTTGGGAAGATCGTACGGTCAGTCGTACGAGATCCACGGCAATTGGTTCTTCCTCCCCTGGCACCGCATGTTTCTCTACTTCCACGAGCGAATCCTTGGGGAAATGATCAGCTACCCCAGCTTTGCGATCCCCTTCTGGAATTGGGACGACGACGCGGGAAGAAGGTTCCCTCGGGCATACAGCAGGTCCCCCTCCTCCCCCTTATACAACCCCGCGCGAAACACGGACCCATGCTCGATGAAGAGGTTGGTAGCCGATGCCACGACCACTCGCATGCTTCGGTCTATCGTACTGGAGGCCAGCACTCAGGACTTGTTCTTCGGGCAACCATTGACAGCTCTGCGAACGAGGCAAGCTGGCCTGATAGAGACGGGGAGCCACAATGCGGTGCATTCGGCGGTGGGGAGGCAGGCTTTCCCCTTCAACGACATGGGGAACGTGGACTGGGCAGGACGGGATCCCATCTTCTACAGCCACCATGCAAACATCGATCGCCTGTGGAGCGTATGGCTGAGACTGCCGCCTGGTCCGTCGGGACCGCGACGCAACCCGACGCACGAAGCGTGGTTGAGGTCCCGGTTCTTCTTCTACGACGAGAACGCGCAGCTGCGGACCATCTCGCCGGCTGACGTGCAGAACGTAGAGGACCTGAGGTACAGGTATGAAGAAGTACCCATCCGGTGGCTATTACAAGGGGAGCTGGACAAGGCTATAAATAGTCAATTGGATATGAAGCGTACGAAGACAGATTCCGGACGTACTCGATCTAGTACCGCCGCCCTCAACGTGCCAGGACGTCGACTTGGACAGCAGCCCACCTCTCCACGACGACCTCCTTCTTCTTCTTCATTCGGAGGTAGCGATGGAGGTAGCGATGGTGGTAGCGATGGTGAGAGAGGAGGTGGGGAGGGAGGTGCTTCAGTTGGTGATTCGTTCAATCTGTGGAAGACTATGAGATGGATAGAAAACAATAGGACGGACGCAGGGACGGAGGAAAAGAAGGAAAAGCAGAAGCTAGAGGAGAAGGAGGAGGGGGAGGGGGAGGAGGAGGAGGAGAGGGAGGAGGAGGAGAGGGAGGACGAGGGAAGACACGAGTTCATCGTGAAGGAGGAACGAAAGACGCAGATGCAGATGGAGGAAGATACAGCAGTCCGCCATAGCCAACGTGGGCGAGGTTATCAAAAAGCGACGGCGGCAAGCAATGCACGAAAACTCGAAGAAGAGGGACCACCTCGAGAAGAAAAAGCTATGGCGGCTTTATCTGACGATGACCGCGGCGTTGCTGCCCAAACTTCTTCTTCTTCTTCTTCCTCCTCTTCTTTTCCTCCTCCTCCTCCTCCTCCTCCTCCCCCTTCTTCTTCTTCTTTCTCTTCTTCTTCCTCTTCTTCTTCTTCTTCCTCTTCTTCTTCGTCTAGCTTACGCAATCACGACGATGATATTGATGATGATGACAATTGCCCGCCGCTGAACTCGACACTCTCTGACGCATTTTTTGAAAAAGCCATTGGATTTGCAGCTTCCCGCAATAGGAATGGAGTGGTTATTGGGCCGATTACAATGAGCAACTCTCCTTTGATTGTTTCCCTTTCAGGTAAGTACGGTTGTACCTCGGGCCCCGCGACTGAGGATCTCCCCTTGATTACCTTTCAAGCCATGAGGTGCCCCAATCACGCTCTCTCATTTGACGTGTTCCTTAGCTCAAGGAACAGCACTGCCGCAGCGGGGAGCTCCCCGAGACCATCCGGATCCGCTTCCACGTCAGCAGATGGTGGAAAAGAGCAAGCGACACGTGGCACTCGGCACTACGTTTCTACCTTCTACAGCATGGCTTATGGTAGAGAAGCTCCCGTCACTACATGGAAGATTCCTATTCAAGGAGTGTTCGGCGACATGCAGCTGGCAGCCGACGGGAGAGAAGTGCAGATCGCGGTCACATTAGTGCCAGGACCGCACTTGCGGCAGGGGAGAGGGGGGGTAGGTGCTGGGATCACCTTCGGGAACATCGGGTTGCAGGTCCCGACCTGCCGGACCTCCTGATCGATATCAAAGTCAAAGTCGTGGCGGGATCCCGCTTGACGCAGGGGACAGAGGAGGAGGGGGTGTAGGTGCTCCGGTCATCTATTTGGGGGACCATTGGGTTGCAGGTCCCGACCTGCCGGACCCCTCGATCGATGTCAAAGTCGTGCCGGGATCCCGCTTGACGCAGGAGACAGAGGAGGA